ACGTCTACGTTGGCTGGGGCACGTCGTGAGAATGACTGATGGTCGGATTCCAAAGGATCTCCTGTATGGAGAATTAGTGCAGGGAAAGCGCCCCAGAGGGAGACCACAACTGCGATACAAGGACATCTGCAAGCGAGATCTGAAGGCCTTAGGAATAGACCTCAACAGATGGGAAAACCTGACATCTGAGCGTTCAGCCTGGAGGCAGGCACTGCATCACGGCCTCTCCCAATTCGAAGAGACCCTTGCCCAGCAGGCCGAGGCAAAGAGGAAGTCACAAAAGCAGCAAAAGCAGGGAGCCAGACAGGGGACAGATTGGATTTGTCTTCAGTGTGGAAGGGACTGTCACTCTCGAATTGGCCTTCTCAGCCACACTAGACGCTGTTCCAAATTCTCCATACAGAGCACATTACCATAGTCTCTCGAGACTGAAGGATGCCTATGATGAAAGGAATTATGGGGCAGGAGGACATATGGGGCAAGGACCCTCTGTTATGGTCCACAAGAGGCCCATGTGGAAAGGGAAGAAAAATTTAATTCACTACAGTACTATACATATTTCTCTAAGATTCCACTCCTCCTCAACAGTACTGAAAACTCCAAATCTAGAATAGTGCTTAGCACTAACTGGGTGGCGTAAAAGTCTAAGCCTGTAATACTTGTTTAAATCTTGTTCAAAAATAAATATTTTTCAAAAATGTGTACATTTCTTGCTTTTCGCTTTTAAATACTGTCTTTTTAATGAGGTAAGCCGCCTTGGGTCCTTTTAAGAAAGGCAGGATAAAAATATTTTAAATAAATCAATAAAATCTCAAGTCAGTTTCCACAGGGAGTGAGGAAAAGAGGGTACAACTAACAAAAGAAGGATGGATGAAGGAAGGAAGTAAGTACAGAGGCTTTCTTAGAGTGAGATCTGCTTCGTTTAGTTTTTGGGGGGCATTTCATTTTCTTGGAATTTAATTTTGTTTTCAGGGGTCATTGGATTTAAGTGTCTTAAATAAATAAACAAACAAACAAACAAACAAATAAATAAGATATCATCACTGCAGGGAGGGGGGCGATAACTTCCTCAATGGCTCAAGGGGGCGTTTCTTTCAAAAAGGTTAAGAACCACTGGTTTAGGTCTTCAGGCTCCTCTTCTCGCCTGAAGCTGAGGAGAAAAATCTGGGCGGGAGGAAATGGAAATCCTTGTCTTCTTCTCCCTTCCCTTGGCATGTGGAGGGGGGAAGTTGCATGTGCACGTGTGAACATTTCTGGCTCAAGCTGGGCTACTCTCGGGCAGAGGGGCTTGGAAATTGTGCCCTCTCAGCTCCATCTTGCTTCTTCTTGCCCCTTTTGAAGGAGCTGTCCCTTGGGCTCGCTTTTTCTCCAGCGGCCGAGAAAAGTTCCCTCAGGAAACCTCCCCGGTTCCACCTTGTCGCAAGCGGCCACGACTCGGCGGCTTTTACCACAAGCTACCGCAGAGGCACCCGAAAGTGGTGCAAGTGGAAGAGAGCGGAGCAGCTTCAGCGGCTACCATAGCAACTGCCAGGCCTCCGGCCTAGCTTTGCAAGGCAAAGCTAGAGGGGTGACACGAAAGGCAGCGAGAAAGTGGGCTGCAGAGAGAGAGAAAAAGAAGAAAGAAAGGGGATTATTATTATTCGGGAGGGGGAATCTAACACCACAAAGAAAGCCCCTGCACATGCTTAATCATGTTTATTATTTCACACAGCTCCAGGAATTGGTTGTCCTTTATACAGGGGGAAAAAATCACCCAGAAGGAACACAGAAGTAGAACAAAAAAGCTTTATTTGTTCAATTTGTAGAAGGGAAAAGCCCTTTCGGATTGAAGGGATATGCCTAAACTTAAGTCAAAGGCAATTAAGTGTCCAAATAAATATTGTTATGAGGTTGATATCAGTATCTGCAAAATTCAGACACTGCTCCGATACAAAATTCATACCAGTAATAACCTCTCTCTGAAAAGAAGCTGTTTGGACATAGTCCCATGATACATTTAAGAGCTCAGTCTTTATTAGGTTACCAGCAATAAGCTGATTTATTTCAGCCTTAACTAAGGGGTTTTGTGGCTTCAGCAACATAATTTAAAATAAGATCTATAGATAAAGCAAGTATGGAAGCCAATGAGGTGTATGGGAAGTAATGTATGTAATTCAGTTACGTAGTTTCAGCTGCGTTTTTCTAAAGGGGACTAGAGGATTTCTTAGATTCTAGAGACCTTTGTCCTTCCTAAAGCAAAGTTTAAAAAAAATTCACATGTGGTGTGCTTATTGGGTGTGTGAGGGGAAGAATATTATCTTAAATCCCATCCTCAGTCTTTAGTCAGTTATGGAGTTAAGTGAATAGCTCAGTGGCTTAGGGTCTTTGGCTGAAGAGCCAGAAGTTGGGAGTTTGTTTCCCACTTTACTTCCTTGACAGGAGCTGGACTTGATGATCTGTAGGGTCGCTTCCAGCTCTGCTAAGGTGGTCATGCTTGTTATGGCATTGGTGTGTGGCTTGTGTAACCTGCCATGGCAAATTGTGGCTAGTTGACAAGATGCCAGGATATATCCCAGTTCTGCAATCACGGACCTGATCGAGCAGGGGACCAAGATACCGTACAGCTCTTGTCTACTAGCTCTGGCAACTTCCAGTAACTTTATGCATCGCTTAGTAAGACCTCCTACGCCCAGATTGACGAGTATGTGAATGAACAGAAAACAGAAATGTATGCATTTGTAATTATTTAATAAAAAAAAGTATAACCTACCATAGCCTTTGGACTGTGTACAAGGACCAGACCACTCTTTAATTTTAAGGACTGTGAAAAATAACCTGAATAGCCATTGAGGCCACACCATCGACAACCAAACATGGACACTCAGCATTGCAAAAGGACTGCAAATTGAGAACATCTCCCTTCAGCTACTAAGTGATACTGTTAATTTGACTGCTTTTATTTACTTTGTGTGTAGATTGCATTTTATCCCTGCTTTTTCAAGGAGGGGTTTGCCATTTCTGTGTATCTCCATTCCCAGCCAAGTAGGTACCATAGATCTGAATGTACAGGAGGGAGAACTGAGAGACCAAGTCCCTCTGCCTGGAGGCCTTGGGAGAGGCACCACCATTCATGCCACCAGAGGTGGAATTTGAAACCTACACCTCTTTGAGACTGCAAACCGCATTCTGAAACATGCTTTAAACAGAGAAGCCTGACCCACACATATGTCCAAGTTTTGGGGGTTTTTTGTATCATACAGAGATCTCCTGTGCCCAGCACGATAAAGATATGTACAGTACTGGTCAAAAGCTAGCTTTTGTGTATGGATTTTTAGTGATCTAATACTCAACCTCCCCTTTGGATTCTGTACAAAGACCACATGGCTTTTTCTTTTTCACTAAAAAAAAAGAGAGGAAATACTGATTTCCCACCACTGTGACAAGTGAGGAGTTTGATGGATCATTTTGTCAAGTCCTCACTCTGAGGTAGTAAACTTGAGATGCTGTCAAGTAGTCACTAGTCTCACATTGGGCAGTACCCTCCAGTTGGAGAGGTGTTTTCTGAGCTTTTTGCTATTCAGTTGTTTAGAAGCCTGCTTCAATAATTTGTCATCATCCTCTGGGAAACATTCTGGACATCATGGTGGAGAAAGTGTGACAGAAACATGAACTCACTGTACAGCTGAAAGGAGGAAGATATTCCAAAATATTGCCGGCTAGAAAGAAATGGACAACAAAATGGAAACTCTGCCTCTTCCTTAAAAAAGAAAGAATAACCATACAGGTGTGTGGCAAAGTACAGACTGGCCCAGCATTCACTCACTCCACAATTTAATTCATGCAGGATGCTGCTATAGCCACTTGAAATTTCATGTCCCCTCAAGCCAAGAATTCTAAAGAAGCCTGTGATGGGGAAGGATCTAGAAGCAAAAGCTGGCCATTGTAGCCAGACAAGTTACCTTGCATGAAGACATTTGAGGAACACTTTTTGCTGTCTCTTGGTATGCTGTGGGAGAACAGAATGTGTGGATGTGTTGAGAGGCAGGGAGAACATCAGAATATGATAAGAATTTGGTGCAGTGAGATTGTGGAGCCAGAACTTGCAGGGTCAAAGCCCCAGGACCTTCTTGCATGAGATAAACACCAATTCTCACAGTCATGAAAGAGAAATAGATTTTCCCAGGTACAATATATTGTTACAAGCTAGGCCTGCTGAAATATTCAAGAGTGACTTGGACTTCAAAGGGCAATTCAGAGCCATTACTGGATGGAGACCAGATTTATCTAGTACTGTAGTTAAAGGGTCCAAATTATTAAAATAATTGTAAGCTTCAAATTCGCCATGCATTATTTCCCTAGACAGTGACAAAAATCTTCCCCATTCCCTACCTTCTACAAATATTACACATTATTATTATTTATTATAATTTATTCATTTATTATACATTATTAGATATTAAACTTATAATTTCCTGGCTGAATTTTTAAAGAAATGTACACTCTGTGGGGGGGGGGAGTTCTGCATATTGTCATTTCTGTGGATTCTTTGATGTGAGGTCAAGCGTGTTTTCTCTCTAAAGGCTTTTCACATTACAAGCACTTACACAGTTTCACCCCACTTCTGTGTCTTTGTCTTTGATGGGAAGCAAGATATGAGGCCTGGGACTCAAGCCTTTTCTGACACTTAAATGGTCTTTCCCCCAGGGGGTTCTCATATGTGAGGCATGGTGTTTGGACTCGTTGCAGTTCTTTCCATAGTCCAAGTATTTAAACAGTTTGTCTCCTGTTGATGTTCTTGTATAGGATTGAAGCTTGTGCTCCGATTACATCACTTTTAAAATTCTAAACATTCATAAAGCTTCTCTTCTTATGGATTTTCATATGTGAAGCAAATGTGAACTCTGACTGAAGCTCTTTTCACATTTCATACGTGTAAGTGGTTTCTCCCCTCTGTGGATTCTCATATGGGAAGCAAGGCTCGGACTCTGACTGAAGCTCTTTCCACATTCCAAGCACGTAAATGGTTTCTCCCCAGTGTGTATTCTCATGTGGGAAGCAAGATGTGAACTTTGACTGAAACTTTTTCCACATACCAAGCACGTAAATGGCTTCTCCCCTCTGTGGATTCTCATATGGGAAGCAAGATGTGCACTCTGACTAAAGCTCTTTCCACATTCCAAGCAGGTAAATGGTTTCTCTCCTGTATGGGTTCTCATGTGGGAAGCAAGATGTGCGCTCTGACTAAAGCTCTTTCCGCATTCCAAACATTTAAATGGTTTCTCTCCTCTGTGGATTCTCATATGAGAAGCAAAGTTTGTGCTCTGACTGAAGCTCTTTCCACATTCCAGGCATTTAAATGGTTTCTCCCCTGTGTGCATTTTCATATGCAAAGCAAGATGTGTGTTCTGACTGAAGCTCTTTCCACATTCCAAGCATGTAAATGGCTTCTCCCCTGTGTGAATTCTCATGTGAGATGCAAGGCTTGTGCTCCAACTGAAGCTCTTTTCACACTCCAAGCATTTAAATGGTTTCTCCCCTCTGTGGATTCTCATATGGGAAACAAGGGAAGCACTGTGCCTAAAGTTTGTTCCACATTCCAAGCACATAAATGGTTTCTCCCCTGTATGGATTCTCATGTGGGAAGCCAGGTTTGTGCTCTGACTGAAGCTCTTTCCACAATCCAAGCATTTAAATGGTTTCTCCCCTCTGTGGATTTTCATATGAGAAGCAAAGTTTGCACTTTGCCTGAAGCTCTTTCCACATTCCAAGCAGTTAAATTGTTTCTCCCCTGTGTGGATTTTCATATGTGAAAGAAGATGTACTCTCTGACTGAAACTTTTTCCACAATCCAAGCATGTAAATGGTTTCTCCCCTGTGTGGATTCTCATGTGGGAGGCAAGGTTTGTGCTCCGACTGAAGCTCTTTCCACATACCAAGCATTTAAATGGTCTCTCCTCTCTGTGGATCCTCATATGGGAAGCAAGGGAAGGACTGTGCCTGAAGGTTGTTCCACATTCCAAACATGTAAATGGTTTCTCTCCTGTGTGGATCCTCATATGGGAAGCAAGGCTTGTGCTCCAACTGAAACTCTTTCCACATTCCAAGCATTTAAATGGTTTCTCCCCTGTGTGGATTCTCGTGTGGGAGGCAAGGTTTGTGCTTTGACTGAAGCTCTTTCCACATTCCAGGCATTTAAACGGTTTCTCCCCTGTGTGAGTTCTTTGATGCAATGTAAGGGCCGCGCTCCTACTGAAGCTCTTTCCACATTCCAGGCATTTAAACGGTTTCTCCCCTGTGTGAGTTCTTTGATGCAATGTAAGGGCTGCGCTCCTACTGAAGCTCTTTCTACATACCAAACATTTCAATGTCTTCTCTGTTGCATGAAGTTGTTCGTGGGAACTGAGGTGGCTTTTATCGCTGAAGTTCTTACCATATTCGAAGCATTGTTTATACTTTTTAGCAATGTTTGTTCCCAAGGATATGCTAACTTCTTCTTCCTTAGTCCTGTTCTCTCTCATATCAACAGCTGAAATGAAAAGAACAATCAGATTGGAGCCAAAATTGGAACAGTATAGTCAATTATAGACAGACTAACTAAATGTAACAGGACATAGAACAACCACAGGAGACCTTTGGTTCCACTGTCCTCAACATACATCTGGAAGACAGCTTACAGGAGGCACAGCAGACTGGAAGAAGAGAAATTATTAAACAATTTAATGTTTATAGAGTGCTAAAATAATTAAGAGGAATGTTGAAAATGCTGCCCTAAAAATGTAGATTGTGCTTTTAAAAATGAGGTTTGGACAGTAGTTTGCTAAAAGTCACTGAAACAATCAGCCCGCTTTCCAACTGAGCCTGGGAATAACGTACATAAACATTGCCTTGTAAAGGAATTTAATTCATGGCTTACATTTCAGCAGGAATTTAAAAAGAACTGAACTGAAAGCATATCGAAACTACTATATTTTTCCTTTTATAAAATGACACTTTTTCATAAAATAATTAGAAGAAAAATTGAGGGTCATTTTATACAGGGAAGTAAGGTGGGGGGGAGGGATCAAAGCGCTCTGCAAAAGTGGAGGGGGAAAGCAGCTTTTTGCAAAGAAAGTGGATGGGGAAAGCAGTTTCCTTGCAAGAAAGTGGAGGGGGAAAGCGATTCCTTCTTTCCCCCTCCCTTTCTTGAGAGGAAAGTGCTTTCCTCCTCCACTTTCTTTGCAAAAAGCTGCTTTCTCCTTCACTTTTAGCGAGAGGGAAGCAGCTTTTTGCAAAGAAAGACATTTTGGGGTAAAAAAGTGGGGGGCATCTTATACCTGCAGCACCTTATACAGGGAAAAACACGGTAGTAGAACAAATTTATGGTACAATGTGTTAATATGATTGGCAATAGCATTTTCAGGTCCTATAATTTACATCTTCTGTAACTACAGTACAGTGGTGCCTCGCACAGCGAGGTTAATCCGTCCCGGATTAACCCTCGCTGTGTGAAACATCGCTGAGCGGGGCAGAAAAGCCCATTGGAACGCATTAAACATCGTTTAATGCGTTCCAAATCGGCTGAAAACTCACCGTTCAGCTTATTTTTAAATGAAATATTATAAAAATGTATTTTTACCTTATTCGGCTATAGGCCCTTATTGTTCAATTCTACTCTTAAAAGTCTGTACTCTTAAATAATATGGTCCTGTGTTTGAACACTTCTATGTTTTGTATTCAAGTCACAATTTAAGTCCACTTTTTGAGCATTTAAGTATTTTGCAAGATAAAGCAATATGCCTGTGACTTCTCAAAAGTTACATGCTTGTAATATTTTTGAAGTTCATGTTTTTCTTATGGAACCTAGAAATAATGTAAGTGAATAGAACTTGTGCAGAAATTAGACAAGTTGATGCTGCCTGGAATTACTGCAACAATGAAGACTTATAGCTCGACAGATGAATTTTGATATGTACTTGGTGTACCAGATATTTTATGTAACAAGTTTCTACTTTAGGATTTACAAAATTTCAGTCACAATAATGATGTTTAACAATTATGTTTATCATCTTTGTGGCAGCTTGCCAGGTACTGAGGTGTAGGCCCTTGGACCTACAGTAGGTATAAAAATAAAGATTAAAAAAAATCCTTGGTGCATCAGATGCCTATAGCTTGCAGGTCCTGGGAAAGAGACTGCTGACAAATTGGGGAGAGACATAAACATCTGAGATAAATATAAATATAAAGCGCTACACAGAAAAAATTCAACCCATCAACACAAGGCTACGCAACATGCTGCATGCCACACACACCAAACATAGACAACAATTATGTTGCAGTAACATAAATAGCGGCTGCAGACAAGGAAAACATAGATTTTCCTCCATAGATTCAAACTGCTTTGGCTGGGTGAGCATTTAGAATTATTTTATGTGCTCTTATTATGCTTAAAGGCTAAGAAAACTATTTTCATTAGTATATGTTTTCTTTTTAGAAATGTCGGTATTTCAGAGATATATTCTCTGCCTTTTAATTCAACATGTCTCTTAGGCTAAAAGCTCCTTTATTTTTAGATTTGAGCGTGACTTCAGTTTTAGAATTAGACAAGTTGATGCTGCCTGGAATTATTGCATCAATGAAGACTTACAGCTTGATACTCAGATGAATTTTGATATAATTTCATTCCAGAATTACACCTAAATGGAATAAATGCCAGCTGTGATCAACATAGGTTTCTAATTCCCTCCCCCCAAGAGATCTATAAAGTTCTGTAGGGCTCTTAGGGGGATTTTCAGGTGTCAGATTCCCTGACCTGACAAATAGTATATATTCTGTAGTCCCGTTTGTAACATCAATTTTATCAATCAAAGGGGGAAAACA